TTTCATTACTTGTGGAGTCTTCGTGTTCTGGCTGCAGCCATTTTACAGTGTCTTTTGTACTATATAGAATCCCTTAACATCATAGGCTGGGGCTTTTAGGTCTTTTATAAGCCTTTCTGTGCAACTCCAGGTGTGGGATTGCATGTTATTGCAAGACCTTTCACAGTACATTTTTCTGCTTCACAACTAAAAATTGTGTCTCTTTGCCCTAACCTGGCTGCTGATCCTACCAGAACTTTGTGAGGAAGGGGTTTTTTTGTTCCTTGAGTGCTGCCACCTGTAATAAAAATACAGCAAACCACATTCAGTTCATGAACATACCTGGGCAGTTCCCTGGACACAGAGTAAAGTAGTTTTGTGTGAATCTCATTGCTGAGAGAGACGTAAAATGTTGATGTTCCAGAGAGAGCAGGAACAGGGCCCTTATCTTGCTTACCTATGTTTTACAGGATTAGCAAGGACAGAGGGTAACTTGAATACTGAAATAAATAAATTGAAAAGAGGCTATGCATCACAAACAAAGTTGTTTTGTAAAAAAAGGTAAACATTTGCACAGTCCCTGTTTCAGAACAAAGCTAATGACAGAGGTTTCAGGTGTGTTGTGTGCTGGATTTTCTTTTCACTTGTTACTGTTTTTTATCTTTCCCTTCAAAGCTCAGTCAGTCAGAGTTTATAAATGACTGATAAACCGTACCACAGAACAGTCTTCCCTTCTCCTTTGTTTCTTTTATGATAAAGTAGCAATACTCTTCACTTGGAAGCTTATTTTGCAAATTTGCCAAAGAATGGCCTCTAAATCTGCCGGAGTCATAGCTGGCTGCCTGTATTTGGGGGTAATCAAAGCTGAACCAGATGAACCGAGCAGGCTGTTCAAACAGATTGAGCTTGCAGTAGCCCTTCTCTGCTGATTACCCCCGTCCCTGGCTTGCAGAGCAAGTTTTCAGCTTGTAAGCCCGCTGCATTTGCAAATAAGATTTGGCATGCCCAATGCTGGCGCAATATTTTTAAGACGTTGTTGAGATCAAATGATCGATCTCTTCATGCGATGTGCGTAACTTGGGCTCTGAATCATCTGACTTGCCAAAAGCAACTGGACAGCAAAGGAGAGGAAGTTGTGTAGATTCCCTGGTAGATATATAAGGGTAGCAGTTCATGCTAACAATTCTGTAAGACTTCATAAGCTTAACCACTCAATGTTATCTCGAGGGTTCATCCTTAATGAGTGCCTTTGTATTCAGATAGCCAGTGGCATAATGGCGTTCAAAATATTTCTGAAATAGTTAATATTCTCTGTGGGCACCGCTGCTCTGTACTGAGCTCTCTAATTTTGACACACTCACAGGCAAATACTACAGAAGTAAGCAGTGAGTGGGATGAAGCGGGGATTTTTGGCATTGTGTTGAAGTTACATTGACTAAATAGCTTAGTTCTATGCAATAGACCTAGTAAACTAGGTTTATTTGCTGCTTGATACATACAGTTTCACATATCACACTCCGCTTTCAGTGCGGCAGATAAGGTATCAACACAATTAAAAGTGAAAAATAATCTGTCTGCTCTGCCAGTGGTGGATGCTCAGAGAACACACGCTGATACAATAGATTTCTGAATAATTTATACTCAGCATTTTTTCCTTGCACTCGGTAAATGAGGACGCCTAATGTGGCATGGTCAGAGTGATACTCTGTCTGTCATCCATTAAGATAACAAGATTGGTGGGCCTGGGAGGAGCGCGGTGTGGTGTGCAGAAAAGATGGTATTAAAAATTGAAATGCTTGTCCAAAATGCTTTGTGATAAAAGTAGCTCAGAAGGATGGAATTAATTCATAAGTGTGATTTCTGCAAAGCTTTGTTTGTCTTCGCTAAAACAAAAACACAGGAAGTTGTGGATAAAAGGAATATTAGAGCAAATCACTGTTCCTGATAGGCCTTCAGTAGCTTCCTGTACTTTAAATTCAAGTACTTTGTAGGTCCTATCAAAAACAATTATGTGTGACAGTAATGCTTTATGTCTCACAGAATGTTTTTTTCTTTATATTCATAAGGCATTTTAAATTACAAAGAAAGAATCATTTGTGCTTGTTTTTGCCACAGGAGCATCTCATCTCCTGTCACAGGCTGTTAATTTAGACAGGATGCTAAAATATTTGCATAAAAAATTGCTCAGGTAAAATATTCAGTGAAACAGATTCCTTTCGAGGTGAGTGTATTACAGAAAGTAGTAGTTAGCTTTCCAAGACAGTAGGTGCTCAGAGTTGATAAATTTATAAGCAGTGGTGGTTTGCTTTCTCTGAAGTTTCTGACAACTTCTCCAGTTTAGATCACATTCAGATTTTCTTGGTTTTTGAAAAATCTATTGGGGTTGTGAGATCAGAGGGAAGTCATTTGACAAAAAAACACTTGGAGGAAACTTAGGCTTGCTTCTAACTTTGCTATTTTTAGTGAACAGGCCAGTGTATTGTACCTGTGCTATCTGGAGTGCAGCCTTGAGATGTTTTAAATGTGATTTTGTGTTTAATGGGGCAGTGAGTGCCCGCTCTGCCCATCCCCACATCCTGCACGGTTTACTCTTGCTGCAGAGCTGCTGGTAACCGCAGCAGGTAAGGTGCAAACCCCCACCAAGAGACAGACAGGACGCTCTCTGGTTTTTAGTTTAGAGGTATGTTTAGAAGAGGCTGTTTCCTCTTTTCTCTGTATTGAGTGACACTTCTGGAGCTCATATTTTGTTTTGAGTAGTGCCTATGTCAGTAAACCAGAAGTTGCTCGAGCATGGATCCACAGCAGCTTCTGCCTCAAAGCATGTGAAGGAAAGAGGAGGCTTTAGGGGCTGTTGGGTTTGGATTCTTTTATTACTCCAGTTGTTCAGCACAGTGAGACAGTTGCTTCATGAGAGGGTCCTTTGTGTTAATTCAGGCCATTTTGTTTCTTCTCCTGTCAGGCTGGTGGTGGGAGAGTTACTTCATTGATGCCTATGGGTGTTCATTTATGTGTGGCTGCAGGGGAAGCTGCCAGTCTGGGCTTCCCCTACCTCTTTCCAACTAAAATGTGGTGACCAAATAAGCTTTACAGAGACCCCTGAAACCAGCACAGCTCACGCTTTGTCTGTTCAATTAAACTAAAATAGATGTCATGGCCTCCTCACTGTTTTAGTTAGCATCGTCGGCAATTACCGCAGAGCCAGGCATCGCAATTAGGGGAGTATCAAAGCAAGAAAGTGGTAAGTTAGTATTACCGTATATTTTCTTCTTGGCAAATAAACAAACATACACACGCTTGCCATGTTTTCTGTTGCAGAGATTGAAGCAGTGTTACTGAGCAAAGTGTGGAATATGAGATAGCAGTGTTATTGATAACATAAAAGGTTTTTTTTAATAATCAAAACAAATAAATTTAAATACTTCTGTGTCCAGTAACTTAAGGAAAAGAAAGAAACTAAGAGTTTTTATTTACCTCTTTGATGGTAGTATTAAGTATCGTCCAAATTAGAGGAGCTAACCTCAGGATGAGGCTTGCCTGTGCAAGAGCTACAAAAAACTATTGCCAGGAGATACGTGATCAAGGAGGCATTTTTCAGTTCTTAATGAATTTGAGGTATTTTCATAACATTAGCATCTATAGCATGTTGGGTGTGCAAGGAATTTATAACAAGTCCTTACTGACTGGGCCTGTCCTACCACTCCCTTGTCGTATGGCCAGAAACTCTCCCAGTTAACTCTGAATGATAGGGTTTTTGGCTTTTGAACTACTCACATATCTCGATGAGTGCTTCTAGGAGAGCCAATTTTATAGCTTGCCATGATTGCATCTTTAGACAAATGCGTTGTGGGCACAGAGCTATCATCTGCGGCATCAAGTTTACCGCTTCCCTGTAGGGTGTAAACGTGGCTGGTTGAAGAGTTTTAACCTCTCAAGGCCTCCAACAAATATTAAATTGCTAACTGTTCTTCCATAATACCATGATGTTGACTGAAATTTGACCCTGGTGCTTGCTGAAATGATTTTCAAAATCTGAGTGAGAAGGTTAAATAGTGTTGTCAAATTTCCAAATGTCTGTTGCAGAAATACTTTCACTGAATATCTGTGGGTTGAGCTCTAAAATGCTTAAAGTAATCCTCTTTTTTTTTCCTTCATTATTATATGATATTATCTAAAGCTTGGATTTCAGTGCTGATAAAGAAATTAACTGGTTTTTTGCCTTTTTTTCCGTGCCACCTAATCTTGCCATTTATGGCTGTTTTTCTGCCTTTTACTTGCTGAAGGAGGAATCCAGTCAAATGGTGCCCCTTAAGTACAAACCAGACCTCTAGTTCTCTTTAATTTCTGTTCAAGAGTATTGTAATTGCTTGATTATTTTTACAGCTGCATCTGAATAAAAAAAAAACCAACGCTGTAATTGGCAACTTTTACAAGTTCACAACTCAATAACCTGATGCTGGAACTCTTCCACCTGCAGAAGCCTCATTAATTGCTGTAGGGGTCCCAGCAGCTAAGAGACCTGGGTTTCAAATTATTTCTCTTTTTCCATGCAGCCTTCAAACTGGAGAATCTCTGCAGTAACAAAAATAGATGGGACCTTTAGGCTGGGAGAGATTGTAGGTTGTTGGATGAGTATTGGACTTCCAAGTGGATCTGTTAGGAAGGCCATTGTTTACCCAACTCATTACTACATACATAAGCCCAAACCATTTGTACTTGAGCTTTTTTGTAAAATCTAGGATTTAATTTCCTGAGTGCTGTTACTAGTTCTAGTTTTGTTTATTTTGGCCATAGGTTGCATTATTTAATTAACTTTTATTTAAGAGAAGAGTCTTTATTTAAGAGATGAGTCTTATGTTGCAAAAGACAACACTAAATTATAAGAAGACCGAGCCTTTAAAAATGTCATACTCCAGCCATAACTTCAAATTTATTTTGTTATTTTCAAGCAATGTTAGTGCCTGTCTCTAAGGGTTATGGGAAGCTCGGAAGTTTATTTGATTTCTATTCTTTCTTGATTTCAGGGCTTTTTCCGCAGGAGTATCCAGAAGAACATGGTTTACACATGTCACAGAGATAAAAACTGTGTTATCAATAAAGTTACCAGAAATCGCTGCCAGTACTGCAGACTACAGAAGTGCTTTGAAGTGGGAATGTCCAAAGAATGTAAGTTGTCTTCAGAAACCATTTCTTGTTTGTCATATTCTACATATATTGGGCAGTCCCAAGGGAGAAAAATACTATGCAATTATGTGATTGAAGCCAGTATCTGCATTCATATGCAGAGAAAGAAGTATGGATTTTGTACACATTTACAAAACTGATAGTACAATGGCCTTGAGTCTTCTGTTCTTACTGGTTGGAGCCCCTCAAAAGGTGAAATAAGCTGACAAATCCCCTTCTGAACCTGCAAAGCTGGTAAAGCTGACTGTGTAGAAGTGCTGCCGAGTGCACAAAAAACCCAAAGGATTTTCATTTATTTTCTAGATATCTCTGATTTGCCATTTAAATTGACATTTTAAAATATTTAGGTAGAAATCTGTGATTTTTCTCATTTTCCAGTTTATTGATATAACTGTCAAGCATGAAAATTTAGCTTAAAAAGCCGTTCTCAAATCCATGTGGGGTAATACTTCTGAAACTTTCTCTTTTTTGATTGAAGTGATTGCAGCAGCAAAAAAAGTCTTTGGATTAGTGATTTGTTTGATTGTTGAGGGTTTTACCTCTATCAGTGATGTTTCTGATTTTAGTGGGTCAATTCCAGTAATAAACACTACAGAAATTTTCAGTTGGTGCATAAAAGAGGGGGGAAAATTGCCCAACACCACTTCTTTACTCCAATTCACTCACAGAAAATAAAACAAAATTGACACTGATGAACCATTTTTGGCTGCACTGTGACTTAAACCAGTTCTTATCCTCAGCATTTCTCCTTCCTGAATTGTGTGGGACTTCCCAGTAGTTCCCTTCTCTGTCTTTGAGGGGGGAGCCACAGAGGTCCCAAAGCCACACTCATACTCCTGGTTGCATCCTGTTTTCCTCTCCCACCCTCTCCTTCCTCTCCTCTCAGAGGAAGAGTGTTGAGGAGCAGAAAAGGAACCAGATACACCTTTAGGACCACTTTGCAGTGTTTCCAACTCCTTTTCATGGAAACCTGAAATTGTGGTTATTGAAAAGGGCCAACATCACGTTTCAAGCAACTGGGAGAAGAGGTCTTAAGATTTCTACAATTTCACTGTCCTTGGATTTTCTAGATTTCTTGTGTGCCTGAAGTGCCCTTATCTATACTTATGTATAAATTTACTGGAGTGGAGACCATGATGGGAGTCAGGGAGAAGATAGGCTAAATACAAAGCTGCACAAAGGTGTAAGACTGCATGAGAAGGATTTTATTGATAGGTATTTGACCACATATACATCTGTGCACATGAAGCTTTTTTCCCTGGATAAAAACAGTATGATGCAGTTTGGAAGAAAAGAAAAAACACTTTTCTCACCTAAGGGCTTGTTGGCCTTGAATTCTTAAGGATTTTATTGCTGACGTGAAGTAGTAATCTTATTAAATGCTGTAACGTCACATCAGAGTAGGTTTTGGAAATATCAGCAGTATTTCTAACACGTTAACCAGAGTTGCTTGGGGTGAAGTATAAAGACTTACTGCCTTTTAGGTGATGGATTGTTTTCTCCCATAGGGTAGCTGGAGCTTTGCCAGCAAGAATTAAGGTTTTGCTCTGTCTGTTTCCTTGGGTGAATTTAGTGAAATTGCCCTTTGGCAGCTGCCTTTATCTCAAACCACTACAGTCACTGAGAAGGGGATGGGAGGCTGGAGGGGGACGAGAGGGTACTGGGGAGAAGGGAGGGATGTCCTCTGGCTGCGTTTCTGTAGAAGGCATTAGCAAAGGAATAGAGAAATTATTTTAAATGTCATCAGTTTGAATGCAGTGTGTCTTGTCTCCTGCGTTTAAGAACGAAGACTGAAGTTATTCCATGTTATCCCTTCATAAACAGGAGCTTTTCATCTCTTAAGAGATTTGAAAAACTGTTTTCTTACCTGACCTTCTTTCATAGATGTCTGCAGGTTTCAGCTCCATCTCTTTAGAAGTTTATGTAAACAAAGGCACACTTGTCAGTGGGCTTTTCCTTACCAGATGGAGGTATTTCTTTTCCCCTAGCACCTTATTTGCATTTTGTTCTTCTGTCTTCTTACAGTTTGTAACATGAAAGCCACAAACAAAGGACAGAAAAAAGTATCAGAAAAATCTCACAGGGAAACAAGCCCACAATGCTCAAACCAGTCCCAAATGGGGAAAGCAATCGCGGTGGGCAGCTGCAAATAGGAACCGCGGGGTCTGTTCCCAGGAGCTGAGGAGGAGTAAATGTAGAGTTTCAGTATACAGAATAATCTGTGCTTAAATGCTACAGTCCGGTGTTTATTTGTTCTGCCTTTAAAGGGCACGCAAAAGTGCTTGCATATGGGACTCCTTTTGAGCTTAATGAGCGTTACACAAAACCATCAGAGATGAGATGGTAACTGGCTGCCTAGCCAGCCTGATAAGGAAGGTTTTGAGAATGGAGGTACAGTGTTTTGGAAGAGAAGAGGTACCGAGCATTTCTTGTGTGCTTTTATCTTGATTTAGAGAATGAAATTAGATGATGGAGGAATGCACCAAATTTGCATTTCTTTATAGGTTGTTTTGTTCATGCAGGGAAAAAACCTGTTATCTTCAACCCCATGTTAGCCCCCAGATCTGATCAAAAGAGGTCAATAACACGACTGCCTCCAGGGCAGTAGTAGAGCTGTTTGCCTTGTGATAATATCTGCAGGACCCGCTGAAACTGGATCCCATTGGTGTGGGGACTGTTTGTCATTGGGCAGCCCCTCTTGCGAAAAGTTTGTGCTCCAAATAGACAAGACAAAGGCTGTGAGGGGAAACAACTTAGTGATGACTCTCTTATCATCCTACAATCGGGCAAAATGCAGCTTGAAATAAAGCCCTGCTGTCTTTCATCAGATCCTGCTCCTGCAGAAACTCCTGAGCTTGTGTTTCTGCAACCTGAGCTGCAGCTCTTGATGTGACAGCCTGGAGCCAGCCCCACCACCAGCATCAGATTTTGGGTTTGTTGTATGGCTGTCCCACCTCAGTTCATGCATGGTAGAAGAATGGTAGGTGCAGCTGAGGCTCTGATCCCTATTCCAAACCATTTCTATCTTTCTTACCCTTCCAGCCTGTTAATTTTTTAATTAACATGTAGAGACAAATGGTGATCACACAGGAGGTTTGGACTCTCTTTTTTTGCTGCGGCTGAAGTGAAAAGGCTACTAAGGCTGACAGGGGCTCATTATGTGATGGAGAGCCTTAGGAAACTAACCTCTGCCCTTCCATTACGCGATCTCTGAGCTGATGTTGAAGCACCCTCCTTGGCCTGACCCCAGGTGTCAGCGAGCAGCACCCTGTTGCCTGGATGCCGGGACCCTGGTTCTTGGGAGCCGGCGAGGGGTCAGGCGTACGGCGCTGCCTCCCACAATTAAGGGAACATGCGGGACACTGGGCCAAACTCTCAAATAATAATGGACCCTTTCAAGCGGGATGCTGGAACATGCGCCTTGTAAGGTGAAGCCTGCCCTTAAAAAAACCCTAAACTGGATTTATTGCAGGGTGCAAGGGGGGAAGAAAATGGAGCTTCCTTCTGCCACAGCTGCTCAGCTTAGCCCAGCAGCTCTTCCACCTCTTCTACTGAATTTGCAAGGACTGTCACTGTGCTTCATAATCTGCAGGGTCCCCCCAGGCATGTACCCAAACCATGTCCCAGGGTGTGATGAAGGGAAGCCCTCTGTACTGACATAAACCTCGTCTGCAGTGAGCTCTAATAGAGTGAAATTACGTTTATAAAGGCAGAGAATTATTGTTCCATATTGCTTCAGTGCACTGAAGCAATGTTCAGATTTGTAAATCTGCTTACAATTAACCTCCCTGGAGGGGAGGGAAGGAGGAAGGGAGGGAATGCAGGGGAATTACCATGAAGTGTAGAGAATCCAGTTTTTGTGCTCCATATTTGGGGTTTTTTAAAAACTTGCACAGAAAAGTCTGTTACTCTTTGTCACAGATTTCAAAGTCTTATAATACTTAAATGTTCATGCTTCTCGGAACATATGATTACATTCTGCTGCTGAAATATAGAATGAACTGATTTACTTATTTTAATTCTGGTTTAAATTTGCAACCAGGAAGTATCAACTTGAAGAACTGTCGTGTTTGAGTTTTTATTTTATATTTCTGTTTAATTTTCTCTCAGACTCCTTAGAGAAGCGCGATTCCACCTCCAGCAAGTGGTTAAGCGGACGGCTGGTCTGCGTAGTTGTGTTTGAGAAGTTCATGCAGATTCCACTGGTATAATTTTAAAGTGAATTAATTAGAATGCATGAAACCTCTGTTTAGATGCTTTTACTCAGAACTGAAGTGCGTTTTTATTCTTTTTAGCCAGCAGTAAGCACTGAATTTAAGAGTTGCTTCTGGTTTGCTACAGGCTAGATTTTTAACTAGATTCCAAAATATCACAGAGTGGCTGGGGGCTTGTTCAAAAATTCCAGTATGGTTGCCTCTCCTGCTGGCTCCTGGCTCGCCAGGCTTTCTCGAGAGGCACAAGCCAAATATCAGAGTGGAAATCACAAAACCCTGAATTCTGTTCTGGGACTAATTCCTCTCTCTGAATACTACAAGCTGATTAGACTGGTTTTCCTGTCCTGAGAGGTGTAAGTGATGAGCCTTTTTAAAGGGGCTGGGAGACCTTTTATTGTAGGTGCTTTGAAAGTGAAAGATGTAGACTATAAAAATACCAGTGAAAGTAAGGATTTGATTGAATCAATAGTGGGGAAACAGTGATCAAGTCATAGAGATCACAGATTTTTTCATTTTGTTCATTAAGGTTGAGTTGAGGATTTTTTTCAGTTGCAGATCAGATAGGAATGTTGTATTTTTTTTTCAGGCTGAAAAATTTGGAACTTTTAAAAGTTAATGCCAAACACTCAGTATCACTGATAGGGAAAGATTTTTTTGTTTAGGATGAGAGCAAAGTGAACGTGAAGGGTCTTTTTGCTACAGAAACCACTGTGCTCTAGTGTCAGTCTGTCCTCTGCCAGAGATAATGCACACTTTGTTACACGGGGT